TTGTAGGCCTCTTGGAGCCTCTTTTTGGGCTTCTTGGTGGTATTTCTGGGACCTCCTGGGGCGTCACGGGGGCCTCTTGGGGGCCTCTCGGGGTCTCTTTGGGTCTCTCGGGGACCTTTTGGGGGCTTCTTTGGGGCCTTTTGGGGCCTCCAGGGGACCTCTCTGCGCCTAGAGTTCGAAATGTCCGTTCGGGCCCCTCGTCTGGGCCCGTTCTTGGAGTCGTCTTGGGAACTTCTTCGGCCATTTTGGAGGCCTCTGAGGCTGACACGTCTTGAAAATCTACCATTGAGCTTTTTTTTCTGCGATTCCCGTAATACCGTCGCAAACAAATTTTTGTCCAGGTGGACGGGTTCCGAGGGGGCAAATTGAGAAAATTGTTTGGGGAGATCTTCCGATAAGTCTTTTAGGTTGATTTTCAGTTCGTGAGGTCAGCGTGAATGTTGGCGTTTTCTGGCGCGAATCCGTTCGTTGGAAGAGATCACTCGGGCTGAATGGTTGCGTTTTCTTTGTCTGATGAGGTAATTATTCTTCCAACGTGTTTCGCCTCTATTGCGGTAGCATAATCTTGCTGTGCAAGCCACAATGATTTGCCCCGTTCCCCCAAATCGAATAATGCCATACATCGTTTGAACATCCGATCCCGGAATTTACCATCATGCGTAGCAATATGCTGGAACATGCGCAGAAACAGATAGGAAAAGCCTCCATTCCCCGATACATCCAGCTTCGACAGTGGGGTTCCAATCCTAAGCAGTGTGGGCTTCGTTTGTGTTGGCGCCATTTTTGTATGCCGGAATCGCTGCCCGAAAAAATGGTACGGTCAACAAGGAATTTGGTTCAACCCGATTTGCGTTTTTTTTATTCGCGGCGAGCGAGAACGGGTATTAAATGGCGGGGGAGGGGCATAACGATGCTTCGGTGCAGTTCTGGCGCCACCAAAGCGTCCACACGACGATGACCACGACCACGACCACGACCACGACCACGACCACTACGACGAACGATGACGAAGACTGCATCGACGATTACGACGAACGATGACGAAAGACGACGACGACGACAGTGAGCCACGACGATAATGACGACCGCGACAATGACCACGACCACGACGACCACGATGACCACGATGACCACGACCACGACGACCATGATGACCACGACAAGACCACGACACCAATGACGACGACGACAATGATGACGATGATGATGATGATGATGGTGATGATGATGATGATGACGATAATGATAATGATGATGATGATGATGATGATGATGATGATGATGATGATGATGATGATGATGATGATGATGATGATGCTGATGCTGATGCTGATGCTGATGCTGATGCTGATGTTGATGTTGATGTTGATGCTGATGATGATGGTGGTGGTGGTGATGAGGATAAAGATGGGGATGAGGATGAGGATGAAAATGAGGATGATGATGATGATGATGATGTTGATGCTGATGATGATGATGGTGGTAATGATGATGATGATGATGATGATGATGATGTTGATGTTGATGTCGATAATGATGCTGATACTGATGATGATGACGACGACGATGACGACGACGACGGACGAGCGACGAGCGACGACGAACAAGGATGATTTCCTCAACTTCTATGAAGACTTGCCTCCAAGCCCCTACCATGGGTGCACATCGGGCATTCAACCGCCCATAATGGTTCGTAGTCATGGTGGAATAACCATGGAGATCCCGCTCATCGAAAACCATCTCAATTCCCAACCGTCGCCTCACTGCACACGGTAGAAACATTTTAACGGAGCCCAAGAGGCGCGACTGTTTCATCTCGAAGAATATGGTGGGCAAACCATGAGAGTGAGAGTGGAAAAATCATTAGATAAACATCTTGTTGTGGGATGGGCTTAATCTACAACGTCATTTACGTATTTGCACTGAACGTGTGTGTGCACGCACGTGCGTGTAAGCGCGTGTGCATTTTCAAGATTAGCCGCTCTTTGTACATAACGTTCGAACAAACAAGTGGCACGTGTGCCATAGCCCTCGCACAAAAAAAAGGAAGGGGGAGGAGGAGGAGGAGGCGGAGGAGGAGGAGGAGGAGGAGGTGGAGGAGGAGGAGGAGGGGGGAAGAGGGGGCAAGACATCGCCCTCTGGGCCCAGCAACGGGGCCCAAGTCCCAGGTGGGGAGGGTGGGGGAAGGCGGCGTGCGTCGCGACGCGGAATAAAGTGCTCGGAGCGGACGGAGCACGGGGCGGAGGTCCCACTGGGGCGCTGTGGGCGCGGAGAGGAAGGGGGTGGTGTGTGCCGCGACGCGGAATGAACTGTCGGGGCGGAGGGGGCACTGGCGGGGCTTGGGGCAGAGGGCCACGGGGGGGGGTCCAATTGGGGCGCTGGGGAAAGGGGTAAGGTGGCGTGCGTCGCGACGCGGAATAGAATTGTCAGGAAGGAGGGGGCACGGGACGGAGTCCCCCCCCACTGGGGCGCTGGGGACGCGGGGAGGGAGGTGGAGGATGGTGTGCGGCGCGACGCGGGATGAAGCATGAGTGGCGGAAGGGGCAGTGGGCGGAGCCCCCGCTGGGGCGCTGGGGACGCGGGGGGGCTCGGGGCAGAGAACCACGGCGCGGGGGTCCCACTCTGGCGCTGGGGACGGGGGGGTGTGCGACGCGGAATAAAGCGTTCGTGGCGGAGGGGGCAGTGGGCGGGGCTCCCGCTGGGGCGCTGGGGACGCGGGGGGGCCCCGGGCAGAGAGCCACGGCGCGGGGTCCCACCCTGGCGCTGGGGACGCGGGGGCGGGGTGTGTGCGACGCGGAATAAAACGTTCGTGGCGGAGATGGGCACTGGGCGGGGCTCCCGCTAGGGCGCTGGGGACGTGGGGGGGCTCGGGGCAGAGAGCCACGGCGCGGGGGTCCCACTCTGGCGCTGGGGGACGCGGAAGGGGGGGGGTGCGGACGCGGGATTAAAGCGTTCGTGGCGGAGGAGGCAAGGGCGGGCCCCCCGCTGGGGCGTTGGGGACGCGGGGATGCTTGGAGCAGAGAGCCACGGCGCGGGGGCCCCACTCTGGCGCTGAGGACGCGAGGGGGGGGGGGGGGGAGCGACGCGAAGTAAAATGGTCGGAGCTCTAGAAACCCTGTGCAAGAAAATAAAGTGGTCGGGGCGGAGGGGGCGGCGCGCTGGGCTGGGCTGCTGGGGAAAGGGGAGGGGGGGGGCGAACGACGACGCCGAAATAAAGTGGTCGGGGCGAAGGGGGCGGCGCGCCGGGCTGCTGTGGAAAGGAAGGGGGGGAGGGGGCGACGGACGATGCCGACATAAAGTGGTTCGGGCGGAGGGGCGGAGGGCGGCAGCGCGCTGGGATGCCGAGGAGAAAGAGGGGGGGGTGGGGGCGGCGCGGACGACGTCGAAGCCGAAATGAAGCCGTCGGGGCGGAGGGGGCGGTGCGCTGGGGTGCTGGGGAGCGACACATAGCGACACATGTCGACACAACGCCGAAATATGGCGACGACGACGCCGAAATAAAGTGGTCGGGGCGGTGCGCTGGGCTGCTGGGGAAAGCGACACATGTCGACACAACGCCGAAATAGGGCGACGACGACGCCGAAATAAAGTGGTCGGGGCGGAGAGGGCGGCGCGCTGGGCTATTGAGGGGGGCAGGGTGGGTTTGCTTTCCATTCACTTTGCTTTTATTTTCTTTTGTGCTTTGCTTGTTTTTATTTCTTTTTGACCTTTTGTTCTTGCTTTTTGCTTTTGTATGCCTTTTGCTGTTCTTCTTCTTCTGGTGTGGCCTGGGGAAAAGGACCGCGGGGGGGGGGGCGACGACGACGCCGAAATAAAGTGGTCGGGCGGCGGGGCAGCGGCACTGGGCCTGCCGAAGAGAGGAGAAAAGGGGGGGCGAGCGACGACAGAGCACGAAATATAACAAGTCGCGGGGCGGAAGGGGCGGATGCGCTGGGGTGCTGGGGGAGGACACATTAGCGACACATGTCGACCGCCGAAATTAATAGCGGTCGGGGCGCAGGGGGCAGCGCGCTGGGCTGCTGAGGAGAGGGAGGGGGGGGGGGGGCGACGACGACGCCGAAATAAAGTCGTCGGGGCGGAGGGGGCGGTGCGCTGGGGTGCTGGGGAGCGACACATAGCGACACCTGTCGACACAACGCCAAAATAAAGTGGTCGGGGTGGAGGGGGCAGCGCGCTGGGCTGCTGAGGAGAAGGAGAGGGGGGGGAGCGACGACGACGCCGAAATAAAGTCGTCGGGGCGGAGGCGGCGGTGCGCTGGGGTGCTGGGGAGCGACGCATAGCGACACATGTCGACACAACGCCGAAATATGGCGACGACGACGCCGAAATAAAGTGGTCGGGGCGGTGCGCTGGGCTGCTGGGGAAAGCGACGCATGTCGACACAACGCCGAAATAGGGCGACGACGACGCCGAAATAAAGTGGTCGGGGCAGGAGAGGGCGGTGCGCTGGGCTGCTGGGGAAAACAGGGCCAGGGGGGGGGCGACGACGACGCCGAAATAAAGTGGTCGGGGCGGAGGGGGGCAGCGCGCTGGGCTGGAGGAGAAAGAGGGGGGGGGGGGGGGCGACGACGACGTCGAAGCCGAAATGAAGCCGTCGGGGCGGAGGGGGCGGTGCGCTGGGGTGCTGGGGAGCGACGCATATCGACACATGTCGACACAACGCCGAAATACAGCAAGCGGGGCGGAGGGGGCAGCGCGCTGGGCTGCTGAGGAGAGGGAGAGGGGGGGGGAGGGGCGACGACGACGCCGAAATAAAGTTGTCGGGGCGGAGGGGAGGGAGGGGCTCGAGCCGCTTTTCAGGAACGGCCGCCCCCAGCCACCAGCCGCCGCGGCGATCGGCTGGTGCCGCCTCTCCCACGCTGTCCCCGACGAGGCAGGCCAAGGAACCTGCTTGGCACCGACGTGCCCGCTTGAAACGCCAGCAGGCGTGGAAGGTCATCCAAGCGTCGCACGCCTTTCTCGCACGACACCACAGCGGACAGCCAGGGAGATTGCCGACCATGGGGCACGGAGGCAAGGGCAAGGCCAGCAGCAAGAACGGCGACACCAAGGGCGCTGCACATGCTGGACCAGCTGGTGGACACAAAGCCCGCCCTGCCCGAGGACAGCCCCCTGCCCATTCATGGACGTGCTCACATTGCGCAGTGACAGTCAATCTGACCAAGGAGTGGTGCTGGCAGTGCGGACAGCACTGGAAGGCGCCCAAACCATTCCAGCCTGCCGACGTTCAGGCCTGCCCGTGGCGGGCGAACGCGCAGCAGGACAGCCCAGCGGACGACAAGGGCACGGACTACAGCGGCGTCGTCCAGAAGATCCAGGCGGCGTACGACGCAGCCGAAAAGGTCAGCAATGTGGATGCCAAGCCGTTGCAAGCAGTACTTGGCACGGTCCGCGCCCAGCGAGATTCGGAGAAGACACCTATGCAGATGGCTCAGACTAGACCCAGAAGCTCGGGCAGAAGCAGAAGGCTCTGGAACGCCACAAGTCAGCCCTCGAGGAGCTCACCCAAGAGGCGTTGGAAGCGGAGAAGAAGCTAGCCCTGAAGAACGATAAGGTCGCGAAGGAGGAGGCCGCCATCGAGGCCTGCATCGGCGACATCGCGAAGCTAGAGGAGGAGCAGAAGCAGTGGCTTGGCAAAGCTCGGGGCGAGCAGCAGCCCAAGCCCGCCGCTGCGCAGGTGGCCGAGTCCTTCAACGGGCTCCAGGCGGCCTTGGCGGCGCTCGGCTCGGCGGCTGCAAGGGGCCCCAACCTCGTCCGCACGTTCGCTGAGTTCGCCGCTGCTCTGAAGGTGCACGGGCAGCAGGTGCTTGCTGCTGCGCAGGCCCCAGCCGACGGTCAGCCGTTAGGTGCCGCAGCCACTGCCGCGCCCGACGGGACCGTAGGCGGAAGCGCGCCTGCACCTGCTAAATCAGACGGGGGCGGAGCCCCCACCGCGGGAGTGGCGGTGACAGCAGCTCGGCCTACTGGGCAGAGCGCGACCGCACCTGGAGGCAACCAGGGGAAGGCGCCAACCGCCGCTGCCGCCACCGCCCCCGCGAACGGCGGGGATGAGAATGTTGAGGGGGGGAGGGGGGGGGGGGGGGGGGAGGGAGGAGGGGGGGGGGGGGGGGGGAGGGGGTGGGATGAGGCCGAGGGCGCAGCCGCTCTCGTGGGTGGCCAGATCGCCTCGTCCCCCTAGCTGTCTCAGTCAATTGAAGGGGGGTGTCAGGTGCGGCTTTTTGAAATTCTGCACAGTCAACGGGTCCTGCTGGACCACAATATCTGATTTCCTGACATCCTGCAATGCATCTATTGTTTTTGTTCAGGAGCAAAAGCTTAGTTTAATTTGTACTTTAGAAGCGAGGCAGAAGCTCAGTAGGAGGGGCTGGGCTTCTTTCTGGGCGCCCTGCCTGCGTGGGCCCGCTGGTTTCCCGAGCGGGGGTGTAGGCGTCATAGCTCGTAAGCATCTAGACCTTTGGGTAGACCCCCGCATTCTTGGCATTGTATCCTCAGGCAGGCTTCTGCATGTGTATTTTAGAACCAGGGCACACGGGCTCATCAGCTTGTATTCGAATTGCTGGGTTTCTGGAACGGGTCTGGGACCAGCGAATATCTGGCGAAACATGACCTTGGGGCAGCACGTCTTGGAGATTGGCACGCCATTTGTTGCGGGGGGTGGTTTCAACATTAGCCCTGATGTACTTGAGCGCGCACTGGCACCTGGCAGATTCGGAGGAGCAATTTGCAGACCAGATGCGCCGACGCTCGTGCAGGGCGACCACGCGTCGATGATAGATTTCTTCATTTGCAGTCGAATGCTCACGCATGGAGTTCGTGATTGCAAAGTTGATCTTAGAGCCCACGCCCCACCGCACCGACCAGTCTACTTAGACATCGTCGAGGACACCCAGGGTCTCAAAGTTTCGAAGTTGTGTAAATATCAAAAGATAGGGGTCACTCAGCCCGTGGGCCCCAACCCTGCCCCACCTGACTACGGGGACCTCTTGGACTCCCCCTCAGGGCCCTTGGAGGACCTTCAGGAGGAACCTGGGCAGCTACATCCAGTCCCTGCTGAACGAGCTGCTGAATTCCAGGAGCTCCAGGACAGCGTGTGTTGTTGCTTGGGTCGGTCGGGCGTGGACTGAACTAGAAGCCATTTTTCAATGTGATGGCACCGATCGGCACCAGAAGGGGGGCGCGCCTTATCGCTTCGTCCAGGTCTCGCTCGCTAAGCTCTTCATTACACGCAGCAGTCCGTACAACTCCGCATCGAGGGCGATGGGGTGGGTTGCTCGTCGGCTTCAGGAGTTTCGGAGCCTGCTCAGGAAAGGCGCGACACCCGGCAGTTCTCAGTATTTTGGCCGTCTTGCACGAGATGCAGCGCGAGGGCTACGCCTCCCTTTCCGTCAGCACTGGCCTGAAGGGGAAGCTTTCTGGAAGCCCAGATTGAAATACTTCGGTCGTGGTCTTTGCAGGCTCTCGCGGCGCCCCTGGGACACAGTCTTGGAGGAGCTGGAAGCCCGGGCCGCTCTGGCGAAAACCTTGGAGGACTTCACGTTCAAAAAGGTGAAGTCCCAGAATAACGAGTCCTGGAAGACCTGGTGTTCTGAAGCTTTGGAGCGCGGGGCCCGCTGGGCCCACGCTTACACCAAGCCGCCGCCAAATTTCAGGGAAGACGTTCTGTAGACCGAAGACGGGGAATATACACGTGCATTCAGTGCTCGATTTCAGGCCCAGCAAGCTTTGTGGAGCCCAGCCTGGAGGGCGACCACCGAGCCGTCCACCAGATGGATCCCGCAGCTGCCGCCTGACGCTCTGGTACCGAGTGCCCCTGATGGTCAGGACCTCAGGAGAATATCTAGTGGATTTTAAATCCATCGCCGCGGACGGGGTCCACCCGAGACACTTCAGTTTGCTGTGCCCCGCCGCGCTCCAGGCGATGTCTCGCCTCATGTCTGTGCAGGTGGCACTGGGCAAAGGGCCCACCCAGCTCCGCATCCTGCTGGTTCAATTGTTCGAGAAGCCTGACTCGGGGAGGAGACCGATAGGGTTTTTTCCAGAGTTACTCCAGGATGGTTTCCAAGGTGCAGAGTCGGGACTGTAAAACCTGGGAGGGCTCCGTGAGACACCTGAAGGCTTTCAACATGGGGCCAGGCAGATCCACCACCGACGGGGTTTGGCGCCAAGCTGTTAGGTCTGCTTTTGCCGATGACACAGGTGAAGCGGCCAGCACGCCATTGTGTGATTTGAAGCAGTGCTACGAGCACGTCGGCCACGAGCAGCTGTGGGATGAGTGTAGTGGGGCGTCTTTTCCGTTACACAGTTTACGGCTAGCCATTGACAGTTGCACATGGCCGCGTGTATTCACCATGGAGAGAGTATGCTCCCCTCTGCTGTGCCCCGCCAGGGGGATCGTCGCGGGGTCTAGCACCGCCACCTTCGAGATCAAGGGGTACATGGTTCCGACAGTTGAAGGGATCAAGGAGGTGGAGGGGACGAGTTTTACTATTCATGTTGACGATTTGGAGTTTGATTCGCACCATGTGGTGCCAGTGGAGTGCCTCGACCGTTTAGGCAGCATTGCGAGCCAGCTGATCGAGGCGCGCTCGTACAGGCTGGGGCTGCCGATCGCTTTGAAGAAAGGGTGCTTCACGACCAACAATCAAGAGGTAATGGATTTGGCTCCACAAGCCCTGGGCGTGTACGGTTTCACTCTGGCGGGGGAAGTTGCGAACCTGTGGGTGGGGGGGGTGGGGTGGTGGGGGGGGGGAACTTCTCGGTGAGCGCCCTCAGGAAGAAACATGCTACCAAGTCACAGCCGTCTGGGGCCCCTGGCCGCTTGTCGAAACGAAGGGCCCGCTGGGCCAAGGCCCTCAGGAGGATGCCAACAATCAAGGGGATGCGTGGTAAAGCTGGAGCCAAAGCCAAATTGTTTTTCATGGGCCAGAAGCCGAGCATCACGCACGGCAGCGACGCGGTTGCCTTGTCGGCCAAGGATGTGCACAGGTTGCGAGTCATGGGGGCCAAGTCGTTAGGCATCTGGAGCCCTGGAGCCTCCATAGACCTGATCTGGGCCACCTCCCCCTTCCAAGGATCCCATCTTGCACGCAGGTGACACGGTGGTACGGTATGCTCGTGAATGGTGGGAGGCGGGAGATAATGACACTCGCGCGGCTGATGGCCTGTCGGCAGGACAGTTGTCGAAGGCCTGCCACGGCTGCCTGCAGAGACTGGCGGCCATGCATGCGTCACAAGGATGGAGGCGTAGAGGCGCACACCCCATCCTAGATGCGTTCTTGTGGGGAGTCGAAGCGGGGTGGACTTTTACTGGACCAGCTTCTTTTACATCGCGGGATGGTTCTGAGGTTCGGCTCACCGACTCCCCACCCACGCTAGTGCAGAAGATTTTCATTCGGGATTTGCAGAAGAAGCTCCTGGACGATGCTATGCTGCGTTTACTGGCTCGGGAAAACCACCCCAGGGCCCAGGACATCAAGGAGAGGGGCCTCTGGACTGAGCCCATTCAGATGTTGCTGAAATCGAAGGGTCTGAACGCCCAAGGGAAAGGCATCGCCAGGAAGCTTTTTTGTAGAGCTTATACGACGGCCCCTTCGCTGCACCGATGGGGGTTTGCCATCTCGCCCAAGTGCAGTTTCTGCCCCGCCTTGGACACGACGCGGCACCGAGTATGGCGCTGCCCCCACGGCGAATCTCTGAGAGCGGATCTTGACCCCACCATAGTTGAGGCCGCTGTGAGTGCAGGCGAGGAGGACCCGTTTTATTCCTCATTATGGTTGCCGACACCAGAGCTAGAAGTGCCAGGGCCGACCGAAGACCAGGTGCTCTATTTCAACGCTGATGGGCGGATCGACCCGTTCATGTTTCAGAGTGGGGCCATCGTCTTCGGCGATGGGTCGGTGGTGGAGCCCAAGTGTGAGGTTCTCTCCAGAGGAGGCTGGTCTGCCATCGAGACGGACGCGGAGGGCAATTTGATAAGAGGAATGCGAGGTAGCATCCCCAGCAGCCTGCCGCAGACCGCCGTCCTCACGGAACACCATGCCCTAATGAATATGGTAGAGCATATAGAGGCCGGCTCAGAGGACCAGCATTTTTACCTGGATTGCGCCGCGGTGGTTTGGGGAGCCCTGGACCCGCGGTGCCCAGAAGAAGACGGCCCAGGCGGGCCATTGGCGGCGTATAAAGTTCGCGGGTGCAAAAAGTTGGTCGACCCATAAGGTGAAAGCCCATCTGAGTGAGGCCGATACGAATCAAACCGCCTGGAAAACCCGTGGTAACACCTGGGCGGATGTTTTTGCCAAAGAGAGTGCGGGGGCTTTTTCCTCGGCCGTAGATGTTGCCAAGGTCACTGAAGCGCGCGAGAGTTTCTTTGCGGTGGCGAGTGCCATGATAGCTGTGCTTCAAGCGTGGCCCAAGGCTCGTGATCTGTTCGGTGATCTGAGTAGAATCAAAGTTTTCCGACCCATTAAAGGCTGCCTGTTAGCCCACGAGGTGCGGTGGGTGAACAATAGGTGGCAATGTGTGAAATGTGTCCGATCTTTCAAGAATGGCCGTCGAGCGGACCTGTCTGAATGCGGGCCTATTCCCACCACCCTCCGTGCTCTTGTTGCCCCTCCTGTCCCTCCCTCGCCCGCTCACGAACTCAGGGTTGCGCGTGCGATTCATTCTGGCCAAGGTTGTGTCTTCTGCCGTCGCTGTGGGTCTTACACCACGGGCCGCCAAGCAAAAGACCTGGTGGGCGGATGCACCAACCCCAAGCCGAAACAAGTTAAAATGCTGCTCAAGGGACAGTTGCCCAGACCCCGCGGCCCCCAGGGCCGTATT